GGCAGAGTGGACAGTGAGAGAGAGAGACAGAGAGAAAGGTCTTCCTTTGCCGTTGGTTCACCCTCCAATGGCCGCCGCGGCCGGTGCGCTGCGGCCGGCGCACCGCGCTGATCCGATGGCAGGAGCCAGGAGCCAGGTGCTTTTCCTGGTCTCCCACGGGGTGCAGGGCCCAAGCACCTGGGCCATCCTGCACTGCACTCCCTGGCCACAGCAGAGAGCTGGCCTGGAAGAGGGGCAACCGGGACAGAACCCGGCGCCCCAACCGGGACTAGAACCCGGTGTGCCGGCGCCGCAAGGCGGAGGATTAGCCTAGTGAGCCGCGGCGCCGGCCAATAAACTGAACTTTAGCTTTTATTAAAGAGTTAGTGCTTGACAATCCTGAATAAGGTTGGGACCAAAAGGGAGAAGCTAAAATGTGCATTAGAAACAAGAAACATGGGATAAGCACAGGTTTGAAAGACAAGAAAGGAATTATAAGCAAACCTGATGTGCAACTCTACAGCAGTGAACTGGAAGAACTGGAGAAGTAAATGGTTTTTAGGATTAATTAACAAAACCAGTCCACAAACAAAAATAAACTTTAAAATGCCGATAACCACACATAAGATTAAAATGCAGGGGCCGGCGCTGTGGCGCCGTGGGTTAACGCCCTGGCTTAAAGCACCGGCATCCCATATGGGCACCAATTCGAAACCTGGCTGCTCCACTTCCTGTCCAGCTCTTTGCTATGGCCCGGGAAAGCAGTAGAAGATGGCCTAAGTCCTTGGGCCCTTGCACCCACGTGGGAGACCTGGAGGAAGCTCCTGGCTCCTGGCTTTGGATCAGCACAGCTCCGGTCGTTGCGGCCACCTGGGGAGTCAACCAGCGGATGGACGACCTTTTTTTTTTTTTCTTCTCTTTCTCTACCTCTCTCTGTAACTCTGTCTTTCAAATAAAATAAATATATCTTAAAAAAAAGATTAAAATGCAATGAAAAATCGATGACTTGGTTTAACTCAATAATTTAAAAAAAAAAAACTGATTAAAACTAGGCAAAGAACCTGAACAGACAGTGCTGCAAGTTTGATGTACAAATAAATGTCCACTGTGCTCTAAAAAGATGCTTGACACCATTAGTCATCAGAGAAATGCCAAACCATGATGTAGGGGCTGCTGTGGGGTGGTGGGTTAAGCTGCTTCTTGAATTGCCAGAGTCCTGGCTACTCAACTTCTTCTTCTTTTTTTCCCCAAGATTTATTTATTTGAAAAGCAGAGTTACAGAGAGAGGCAGAGATGGTGGGGGGAAGGGGGGGGAGAGAGAGGGGGAGAGAGGGAGAGAGAGAGGGAGAGAGAGAGAGAGAGAGAGAGGTCTTCCATCCACTGGTTCACTCCCCAAATGGCCGCAACAAGCAGGGCCAGGCCAGGACAAAGCCAGGAGTTTCCTCTGGGTCTCCCACGTGGGTGCAGGGATCCAGGGACTTGGGCCATCTTCCGTTGCTTTCCAAGGCACATTAGCAGTGAGCTGGACCAGAAGTGGAACAGCTAGGACTCCAACCAACACTCATATGGGATGCCAATGCCGCAGCCCAGGGCTTTAACCCACTGAGCCATAGTGCCAGCCCTGCTACTCCACTTCTGATCCAACTCCCTGCTTATGTGCCTACAAGACAGCAGAAGATGGCCCAAGTGCTTGGGCCCTGCCACCCATGTCAGGGTCCAGGATGGAGTTCCTGGCTCCTGGCTTCAGTTGGCCTAGCCCTGGCTGTTGTGGGCATTTGGAAAGTAAACCAGTAGATGGAAAATCTCTGTCACTCTGCCTTTCAAATAAATTAATTAATCTTAAAAATAAAACTGTGATTTAAATAATACTTTGTATCCACTAGGATAGGTAGAATCAGAAAGTCTGGTGATAACAAGTGTTGGCAAGGCCATGGGGAAGGTGGAATCCTCCCACCTTGGTGATGGCCATGTGCAAGGGTGTAGCCACTTTGCAAAACGGGCTGACAATGTCACGTGATTAAATACCGAGTCCCCAGATGACCCCACACTTCTGTTCCTAGGTAGACACCCAGGAGTGATGGAAACATGTATGTCCACATAAAAGCTTGCACATGGATGTTTATGGCAGCATTATTCATCATAGCCCAAAGGTGGAACTGTCCCAGGTGTCCACCAACAAACAAATGGATAAAGTGTATCATATCCATACTATGGACTATTGTCTAGTCATAAAAAGTAATGAAATTCTGACACATGTTACAACATGGGTGAAACTTTTAAAATATTTACTTATTTATTGGAAATGCAGAGAGAGAGAGAGAGAGAGAGAGATATTTTTCCATCTACTGGCTTACTTCCCGAATGCCCACGATAGCCAGGGCTGGTCCAGGCCAAAGCCAGGAGCCTGGAACTTGATTCAAGGCTTCCACATGTGCAGCAGGAACCCAAGTATCTGAGCCATCACTTACTGTCTCCCACAGGGTACATCAGCAGAAAGCTGGACTCAGAGGTGCAGCCGGGACTCGAACCTAGGCATTCTATTGATATGGGATGTGGGTGTCCCAAGCAGTCAAAAAAAAGCATGCCCACTCTGGACGGATCTTTAAAACATTGCGCTGAATGAAAGAAGCCACTCCCCAAAGATCACAGTATTACATGACTTGAGTCGAGCGAAATGTCCAGGACAGCAACATCTACAGAGACAGAAGCTGGTGGTTGCCTGGGGCTGGGGGAGGACAGAGGAGGGCTGTCTTTTGGAAGGTGGTCACAGTGCTTTAAATGGACTGTGACGATGACTGCACTTAACTGAGGATATGTTACAAACCACTGCATTTTGCGGTTTAAATGAGCAGATTATGTGGTGTGTGGATTTTATCTCATCAAGCTTTTAGGAGAACCTAAGATTCTGGAACTGGCGCTGAAACATCTCATATTAGAGTGCTGACTCGAATCCTATTGCTCCACTTCCATTCCAGCTCCCTGTTAATGGGCCTGGGAAGGCAGCAGAAGATGGCTCAAGTACTTGGGTCCCTGCCACCCATGAGGGAGATGTGGGTGGAGTTTCAGGTTCCTGGAGTCAGCCTGGCCCAGCCCTGCACATTGTGGGCATTTAAGGAGTGAGCCAGCAGATGGAAGATCTCCCTCTCTCTCCTTCTCTCTGCCACTCTGTCTCTCAAATAAATAAATACATCTTTAAAAATAATTACAAAAGCAGAGGCAAATTGTTAACAACATGCATGAGCTCAGGAAACATTATCTCAGGACCCGCTCCTGAGGAATCCATGGAGGAACGAGCTTCACACAACCAGAAAGAGCAGAGAGACGCAGCCGAGGACTGGCGGGAGTGCGCCGGCTCTAGGGTCCCAGGCATGATTATAGTGCGACCCCCCCAGGCCCGTGGGGGCAGGAGGAGAAGGGGAAGCCTCTGCAAAGATATCTTTCAGTCACCAGCTTGGTAGTGGCTGTGGCAGTATTGCTATCCTGCGACTATTGCACTAGGGTACTTCAAAATGTTTGTAGAAAAATAGAATTTTTAAATGGGTGCAAAAGTCTTGAAATTCATGCATCTGCATTCTCCATGAACTTCTGAAGACCCCTCATATATGCAACATGCGATGTTCTAATCATTTCACCCTCTATGTGTTGATAGCCAGGACTATTTCTAGAAAATAATGTATTTATTTTATTTGAAAGGGAAAGAGAGTGATCTTTCATTTGCTGGTTCACCCCCGAAATGCCTACAACAGCTGAGGCTGGGACAGCCACATCCAGGAGCCAGGAACTCCATCCAGGTCTCCTACCTCAAGGGCAGGGGCCCAACGATTTGAGCTGCCACTGCTGCCTCTCAGAGTGTACATTAGCAGGAAGTTGGGGTTGGGAGCATGGCTGGGACTCCAATCCTGGCACTCTGATACAGGATGCAGGACTCCCAAGCAATGTCTTCATGACTTCACCAAAATTACACTGCTTTTAAAACACTATTTATTTATTTGGACGGAGCAGAGAGAGAGAATGATGGAGAGTAGAGAGAGATCTCCCCATCTCTAGTGTACTCCACAAAGGCCCACAATAGCCAGTTGGGCCAGGCCAAAGCCAGGAGCCCAGAGCTCAATCTGGGTCTCCCATATGGATGTCAGGGACCCAAGTCCTTGAGCCATCATCTGCTGCCTCTCAGGGCACTCATTAGCTGGGCAGTCAAGTAGTTTGTACTCAAAGCAGGTACTCTGCTGTGGCACTGCGGGCGCCCCAAGTGGGAACTTCGTGGCAGGCTGGTCACCCCCAGTATATATTTTACTTCTGTTTCCTGGCTCCCATGGACATTCCTAGGGCCCAGCTTACAGTGTTGAAATACCACTCCCCGTGAAAAGAAATAAGAATTTTTGAGAAATAGAAGATTCCTACTCCGGGACAGGAAACACATGAGTCAGTCTAGAACATTCTGGAACATTTTTTTTTTACCAAACATGACGTCATTAGGCTACCAGGATGGCATCAAAAGGACCCAAGAAGCAACTCGAAGAGGCTCCCACTGACCAGGACGGGACAATCTGAGCTTCAATTATGATGGATTGACAGTCTATCAGATGTTTAGCCTATGAGTTCACAATGACCAAAAACAAAGAACAGAAATAACAGGAAAACTAGTCTGTCTCCCGTGGAGCATGCCAGAGGAGCAATTTAACATCTTAGAACCTGCCACATGAAGAGAACAGATCAAGCAATTTTTCTCATGTTGCCTTTCTCACGTGAACAGCACCGCGGTGTAATCAGATAACAGGAGAGGAGCCACCCTTGGTGAAATCACTGCAGCTAGGAAGCAGAATTCCTGCTGTGGCCTGGGGCCTCCCTGCCTCCTTCCCCACAAAACTCCCTTCCCATCAGCCTCCTTGGTGTTTCACATGCCTGCATTAGAAGCCAGACACAGCTGATTTAACCCAATATAGCCAAGCCATATTAACATGTAATCAATATAAAAAGTGACTTTTCTAACTACCAATAACAAGCATTCTTTTAAAACATACCTGTTGGAGGAGTCCTGAGTCAGTGTCTAAAATGCAGGCATTGATGAAACCATTCTGAAAGGAAAATTTTGAAAATATTACCAGATAACCACAGTAATGGCTGCCTCATTCTGGGAGTCTACCACACACCAGACTATACTTGGAGTGTGTGGTTTTTTCACAAATCAAGTTTTGAGGCCAGTGCTGTGGCATAGCAGGCAAAGACACCACCTGTGGTACCAGCATCCTATATGGGCACTGGTTCAAGTTCAAGCTCCCTGCTAATACACCTGGGAAAGCAGCAGAAGATGGCCCAAGTGCTCAGGCCCCTGCACCCTGAGTGACCCTGAAGAAGCTCTTGGCTCCTAGCTTCGGACTGGCCCAGCTCTGGCTGTTGCAGCCATTTGGGGAGTGGAGGGAAGATCTCTGTCTCTGCCTTTCAAATAAATAAATAAATCTTAAAAAGAAAAGAAAGAAACCAGCCCTGGGCCCAAGCAGTAGAGGGAGACCAGTGCATGCCCTACAGATCTCAGGCCTGGAGACATTCAGAACACACTCCCGAGCCAGGAGGCTTAGACTGCTGGGTATGGTGGGTGGGCCTCAAGACAGTGTGGTGGCCCATGGGAAGAGAGAGACCTCCAACCAAGTTCTACCTCATTTCAGAAGAGGTAGACACAAGGCATCCGCCCACCAGTCAAGCCTATTTCAAGACCTGCCTCTCCTAGGAAGCTTCTCTGACTCCACATCTCTCCTCTTACGGCCTGCTGCCCTTCCCCTGCACATGTGGTACAAATGGCAGCAAGAACTCCTAGGACATAGTGACCATGAGCCAGCACACCCAGTGCTTACTGAGAGTCAGGTTCCGTTCTAAGCGTATTGCTTGCTGATCTGGCTGCTCCTTGCTCATAGAAATCCATCTAGAAATTGAGTGGCTTTCTCATCCCGCAGAGTTCCATGGGGTGGCTGGGCTCAGCTGGGCAGTTCCTCTGGTAGTCTCCCTTGGGGTGTTTTGTGCAGCTACAATTGACCAACAGCTGCACCTGGGCTCACCTGGAGACTCAGCCTGGAACCTGGGGTGATGACGGGATGGCTGGTCTCTACTCCTGCTCGATGTGACCTTGGGGCCTCCCCTCAAGTGACCTGTCCAGGTGGCTCCTCCAGCAGGGCAGCTCAGGGCCACGCCCACCAAGAGGGAGAATGCAGAAACTGTCAGTCCTATTAAAGACTAGGGCCGGGCTGACCCAGGAACTCCCCTACCATCATCTGTCAGTCCCTGATCAGCCCAGACTCAACACTGAGGGGAGGGGGGGCTGCCCAGAACTTTGAATCAGTGAGGGCTGTCTTTAAAGACCAGCTAATATCCAGTCGTTGGATCTTCAATCTCCTTGGAGGAACTGCTGTTATTAACCTCACTTTACACATGAGGAAACCCAGACATAAAAAGAAATAAAATGATGTCCAAAGCCACAAAGTGTCAAAGCTGAGATTCAAAGTGATGCAATCTGGCTCCAGGCCCTGGCTCATGACTGCTCCATCAGCTAATCCTTACCACGAGATAATAAAAATAAAGGAGGAAGAGCGACTTCCTTGAAGGCATAGTGAGCCAGGGCTCCGGGCCAGCCCAGATACAGGCTGGCCCTTCTCTGTGTCCCTAGCCTTGGTGGTGCCAAGGTCCAGGGTGTAGGGGCCCAAGAGGACCAGAGGTGCCCAGGTGAATTTCCCAAGGCAGACCTCGAGGGCGAGGCAGCAGCACAGTCAGGAGGGGCCATTTGAGGTTGATGGGAAGATGAGCATGATCCACCCTGGGCGGCTCAGCAAGGAGAGGATGCGCAGGAAGGGCTGTCTGAGGGGGCCCAGTGATAGGAAGGAAAACTAGGGGTAGAGGGAGGGGCGGATCTGGGAGAGGCTAAGCACGCAGGAAGCTTGCAGTCATGGTTGGTGGTAGGAATGGCCGGCTCCATGGCTCCAAGGGGCACTGCTGAGTAAGGAGGCTGCTGAATCCCAGCAGTTCGGGGGTCCCCTCCCCTCACAGCCCTGCTCTTGAAAAGAATGCTCTCCATCTTTTCTCAGAAAGTGTTCCCTTGTGCCGAGTCCCCACCTGTCTCCTGGATAACTTCCTGTTCTAGTCTAGGTCTCGGGGACTGAACTCCATCTGCAGGGCTGGCTGCTCAGGTGTCCACGGGTGGAGAGGGAGTTCTGCAGAGATGTGCGTTTGCATCCTCACCCGTCACCTGGGCTGTGAGCAGAGCAAACAGGTGTAGAGCCTCCCCCGGCCATGTTTTGAATTTGGTGCCATCCAAAACCTTGTTTTCTCTTTAAGCAGTTAGGAGAGGTGGGCTTCGGAGTGCCAAGGAGCTGGATTCGAAGCCTTTCTTGGCTACTTAGCAGATGGGCGGTTATGAGCAAGTTTTCAGTTGTCTGGCCCTCAGCTTCTGTATTTGGATGGCATGGGTGGGGGCGAGGCCTCTCTCTTCCTTTAGGGGGCGCCTTCTGATTTTTAAAACAATTTAAAATCTTTTATTTGTTTGAAAAGTAGAGCTAGAGATCATCCATCCACTGTTTTCACTCTCCACATGGCTGCAATGGCCAGGGCAGGGCCAAGCTGAAGCCAGCAACCAGGAGCTCTTCAGTGATGGAACCAAGACAGAAGCCTCAGCCATTCTTGCTCATTGCCCAAAAGATAGAGAAACACTGGAACGTATTCCTTGTCCTTGAATCTCAACTGGGTCTCACATCCTATTGCCTTCATAGTCCACCCTGCAAGCCCACCTGAAAGACCAGTTCTGGGAATTCCCCTCCACCTGCTGTCCCCTACCCCACCCCCATCCCTAGCCCTCCTAAAATATACAAAGGCCTGGCCCTTGAGGTCAGGGCCTGCCACGTGTTCCATTAGTGTGCACGCTGGCAGTTGGTCACCCACCTCTAGGAATTTATTTTCTCTGAATAAATCCGGTCTGGCTGCAGATTCCCACACTGCCTCCTCTCTATTCTGCGCCTCTTTTCCTAACATTTATGGTGCCCCGAGTGAGGAGGCGCCAATCTGCAACTCTTTTCCTGACACTCCAGGTCTCCCACATGAGTGGCAGGGGCCCAAGCACTTGGGCCAACTTCTGCTGCTTCCCCAGGCACAGTAGCAGGGACCTGGACCAGATGTGGAGCAGCCAGGACTCGAACCGGTACCCCTACGGGATGCCAGCATCACAGGTGGTGGCTTCACCTGCTCCGCCACAACGCCAGCCCTTAGAGGATACTCTGCAAGGTTAGAGACACACATCACCACCTTTCCATCCCGTGGCCCCCACTTTCTCACTTTTCTCCCAAGGTCAAGGGGAAGGCCTCTGGCGTCCATGGAAGCCATGTCCCCTGCTGTGTCCCACTAGGAACCCCGAGGGCCAGGAAGATGCCTCCATCTGCGGGTTGAGCCGAAGCGGAGGAGCACCAAGATGGCGCGCGACTTATCCAGCTCCACCACTTGGCAGATCTCCAAGGGGAGGCCCTGTGGCCACCCTCCTGTCTCAACAGCCCCCTGCCAGTCCCTCTAAGTCTCCCAAGCGCCCCTGACACCTTGAGCTCCCATGGAACACAGCCCCACCTCTCCCGGTCCCCTCCCGTATGGCTACAGCAATCCAGCGGGCCTCGGATTCCGGCCACCGGTCGCCTGCCCGGTCGGGGCCGCTGCGGCGCAGAGGGCGGGGCGTTTTCTGGGAAGACGGGCGGGCGGCAGCTGCCCCACGGGCCGGCGGCGGGCCTGAATAGCTTCACAGCTCGGGCCCTGCCTCTGAATGGGGCCTCGGCCCCTCCCTGGCGGTGGCCTGGAAGAGATGACATTTTCATTGCAAGCTAACAAGGGGAGAAATGCAATTACCTCACAAAGGGGCTCCGGAGGGGCCTGGCAGCCGGGAAGGAGCGAGGAGGAAGGGGGTAGCTCCTCCGGGGCCAGTCCCCTGCCTGAGGGGCCCTGCTTGCACCACAGGCCAGGCTTCCTCACCTGCGGCTTCTTAGCCTTTGCCCCTTCCTCGTTTTTTTTTCTCCGCACGTGTTGAGAGTTTTCCTCAAGTTTAGTATTTAAGCAGAAAGCGTACGCGCAGCTGTGAGGCGAAAGCGCAGAGCTCATTCTATAAAGGAAGGTAACTCGGAGACACGGGCGGATAAGCCTTGGGGGCGGCGAGGGCTTGGGCCCGGCAGCCCCCTGGGTTCTCCGTGCTGGCCGGGCGGGGCACCCAGCTCCTCCTTCAAACAGCGGCACCAGCGAGGCCCAGGGCGCGAGGAGGGCGGCCCCGAGGCCGGGCTGCCCTTAACCTTGGCTGCTCTTCCCTTGGCCGAGAACGAGGGCCTCTTCGGGGGCACCGACTTCCCTGCGCTTTGCGGGGTGCTCACGCGGGTTCTAAGAACGGTGAGGGGCCTCGGGAGGTGGAGGGCCCGGCGGCGCCTCTCCCTCCCCTCGCAGACCCCCTCCGGGAGGAAATTAGCATTCACTTCCTCCCGCCTAGGCAGAGCAAATCGGCCTCAAAAGCCGGCCGGCCTGGAGGCCACACAGCGCGCCCCTCCGTGGCTCCCTCCCCATTCCCTCTCCCCTCCCCCAACCTGCAGAGCTCTCCCGCCCCAGGACAGTGAGGGGGCCTTGCTAAGGAGTGGGGTGGGGGTGTTCAGGATTTGGGGGCAGCGCCTGCCAGTGCCCTCTCCAAACTGGAGGTGTCACCTGTCTCCTTCCCACGGAAGCTTTCAGGAGAGTTTAGACCCCAACGGAGGGACAGCTCTGGCCCCCATCCCGGGAAACACAGGTGCAGAGGGAGGGGCATTGTGCCAGGTGGCATGGCTCACCTCAAATCCCACCCACTCAGGCCTGCTGGTCAGGGACCACTCCGGGCTCTGGGGACCTTCTGCTCCCCTCCGGGGAGGTGAGGTAGGGGGGGAGGCAAGTCTGATCCAGAGCCACTGGGCACGCGCAGTCCCCAGGGTCCGCAGTCTGGCAGTGATTCCAAGAGGAACCCTGGTGTGCAGGAGAGGCAGAGACGGCAAAGAACAGTCCTGACTAAGGAGCCAGCAGTGCCTAAGCCCTCCTCTAGAAGACAGTAGAGGCTGGGAAACCTTGTGTTCCCTTGCTCTGTTCCCTGTCCAGCCCCTGTTGGTCTTCACCTCCTTGTGACACCCCCAGGAAATCCCTCCCACCGCACCCCTTCTTGAGGCTCAGCCTTGCGTGCCTGGCCTGTGCCTGCCGCTCTGAGCGTCGCGTGTGTGTTGGCCCATGGGCCTCCCTAGGGCCTCTGCGGTGGAGCTGAGTGTGTCTTCAGAACACCTCTGGAGATTGGACAATGTGAGTTCCGCCTTCAGGGGGCCTGAGCTCTCGGTGACCTCCTCAGCCATCCCCAGTCTCCTGTTTGAAGGAGGTTCTCTCCCTCTTCCGTATTATCTCTTTCCTGATGTCTGCCAAATGTCCACATCCATCCTGCACAAGTCCCATGGCTGCAAGATTTGCCTGCCTGGGTGTCTCAGCTTAAGAGAGGCCACCCACTGAGTGGGCTTCCCTCCAATCCTCTCTCAGGCCCCCAGAAGAGAAACTCTTGGCCCATTTCCCATCGATTCACCTCTCATCCCTCCTTCTGATCAACACCCCCCATCCCACTATCCCAGTATCCCATCACCCAGGTGATCCCACCTCTGAAATGTCTCTGGCGTTGGCACCCTCCCTGGGGCTGTAACTCCACCATCTCTTACTTGGCTGTTGACGTAACTCCCTGCTTCTCTCCTGCAGTCACAGCCCGGTACGTCTACATCTTAGCCCAAATCTCTTGCTGCTTCCAGTCCTGTGTCCTTGCCGTCCCCAAGCTCGTGGCCTCTGCTCTTCCTCTTCCACACCCACCTAGCTCTGCAGCCTCCGCCCCATGGTAAGCACTTCTCTGAACACTCCTTGTGCGTCCATCTGCGTTTATCCCTTCTCGTGGCCAGAAAATCTTTGATGTCACCTCTGAGTGAGGCCCTGAGCCCAGCATTGGGAGAACGTATGGGCCACCAGGCCCTGGCCCTGTCCAGTCTTCATGTTGCTGCACACGCCGTCCTGCTCAGAAATACGAGGTCCTAGATCTTTTCCCTACACATTCTGTTTGGAGTCTACACAGTACCCTTTGCAGACACTTGAACTAAGACCCAGAAGCCAGAAGAAGTGAGGTTATTTTGGTTAAAAGTAATGGAAGTCATCTCAGACCAGTATGAATGGAGATTAATCAGCTCATGTGAACAGGGATGCTAGGGGCCCTGCCCCTCCCCTCGGGCTTTCTACCCCCATGTCGTCCACAGCAGAGATGGGGAGAGGGCGGTGAGTGGCTGCAGCGAGAGCTGTCGCTTTACATCACCCCAGCCCAGCCCAGGAAAAAGCGCTTCTCTCCCAGCACCCGTGTACAAATCTTGAGCAAGGACTGTGATCACAGAGGCATCCCCAGAGGACTAGCTGAAGCAGAGAGGAGAAGAGAGTGGGCTGAGCCGGGCCCCATACCCATCCCTGTGCCTTGGGAGGCTGGTGTCCTGACTGGCAGCCCGGGCAGGCCTCAGGGAACCGGGGCGGAGTCGTGCTCCAAAGGAAGGGGTGCTGTACCTGGGAGAGGCCATGGGGCAGGCCAAACCAGAGGCCGCCCTGTCACAGTGTGTCTCACGGCTGGACTACTGCCCCAGAAGCCCTGGAGCTGGATGATCAAACAGAACATCAAGCATGGCCATAAACGGTCCTGATCCCCATTGCTGTGCAGGAGCTAACAAGGAAGGAACATTTCCTCACTGCACACGTTTCTTTCTAGACTTCTGCTTCAGGGATGACCTGTTACTGGGGCAGACTTATGTACTGCCGGAAACAACTAGACCACAGACAAAATACGGAGAATGATCTTCAGACAGCGGGCAGCAGGCAGCGCTGGGGCATAATCCGGGAGAGAACAGAAATGAATGAGGTGAGCACCATGAGCACCTGCTGGTTTCTGGTCCACGAGGCAGGGACTGGGAGCCCTACCAGATGAGTTGAGGACACAGAAAACAGAGTGCAGGAGGTTGAAATAGCTGGGATTTTCAGGGCCAAGTACTTGGCCAAGAAATCTTTACAGAGGGAGTTGGAGAAATATGCATAGAGTGGTCTTGAGTTTTTCAACGTAAATCTGTTCAAGTGGCAGGCAGAACTCTACAAGGCTAGTCAAAAACCCAGCTTTCACGGAAAAGGTAACTGCTGGGAGCTGTAGGACAGAAAGCTCTCAGGACTGTGGCGTCATCTGAGATCCTATAGCCAGGGTGAGAGACACTGGTAAAAACGTGAGGCATCCACATTGGTGAATGATATCAGAGACTCTTAATTCAGTAGTGGGGCTAAACTAGCTGTGGAGTAAGGCCACGATTGACTTTTTTTAAAAAGATTTATTTCATTTGAAAGACAGAGTTATAGAGAGGTAGAGACAGAGAGAGAGGCCTTCTATCTGCTGGTTCACTCCCCAGATGGCTGCAGTGGCCGGAGCTGCACCAATCTGAAGCTTCGAAGCCAGGAGCCAGGAGTTTCTTCTGGGTCTCCCACATGGGTACAAGGGCTTGGGCCATCTTCTACTTCTTTCTTAGGCCATAGCAGAGAGCTGGATCAGAAGAGGAGCAGCCTGGACTAGAACTGGTGCCCATATGGGATGCTGGCGCTTCAGGCCAGGGCGTTAACCCACTGTGCCACAGGCCACAGCGCTGGCCCGATTGACCTTTTTTTTTTGTTTGTTTGACAGGCAGAGTGGACAGTGAGAGAGAGAGAGAGACAAAGGTCTTCCTTTGCCATTGGTTCACCCTCCAATGGCTGCCACGGCTGGCGCGCTGCGGCCGGCACACCACGCCTGTCCAAAGCCAGGAGCCAGGTGCTTCTCCTGGTCTCCCATGGGGTGCAGGGCCCAAGCACCTGGGCCATCCTCCACTGCACTCCCTGGCCACAGCAGAGAGCTGGCCTGGAAGAGGGGCAACCGGGACAGAATCCGGTGCCCCGACCAGGACTAGAACCTGGTGTGCCGGCGCCGCAAGGCGGAGGATTAGCCTATTGAGCCACAGCGCTGGCCCTGATTGACTCATTTTTAAAAAAGCTAATGGGCTGGCGCTGTGGTGGTGTGGGTACAGCTGCTGCCTGCAATGCTGGCAGTTCAAGTCCTGTTTTGCTCTACTCTGATCCAGCTCTCTGCTATGGCCTGGGAAAGCAGTAGAAGGTGGCCCAAGTCCTTGGGCCCCTGTACCCATGTGGGAGACCCAGAGTAGGCTTCTGGCTCCTGGCTTCAGCCTGACCCAGCCCTGGCTATTGTGGACATTTAGGGGAATGAAATAGCAGATGGAAGATGTCTCAAACTCTCTAAAACCCTCTATAACTCTCTAATACTCTCTCTTTCAAATAAATGAATAAATTAAAAAACCCACAAAGATTATGTGGGTCTTTTAATGGACTTCCAGAACAAGGCACAAGCCCTCGTGAATGGAAAACAACCAAATCCGGCACTCAACAATATAAACTTGCATTGCCCAACATCCAAGAGAGAATGATTAGAAATGAAAAGCAGAAAAATGTTACCCACAACTAGGAGAAAACCAATGCAAATACATCCATAAACATCTGAGGTGATGGAATTAATAACCAAGGATATTAAAGTAGCTCTTACAAATATACTCATGCCCAGGGATGCAGAGAAAAATGTGAACATAATGAGATAGGAAGTGGAATACCCAGGAGATGAAAAACACAATATTTGAAATGAAAATTTCATGAGATAGGATGAACAGCTCAATATTCACAGAAGAAAACACGTGTGCCCTTGAAAAAAAAAACTGTGACCTTGAGGACCTCACCTTGGAAATGACCTAAAACGAAGCACAGAGGGGAGACAGGCATCCTGGCCTCAGTTTCCTCATCTAAATGAAGGGAGGGGCTGACGCTGTGGCGCAGTAGGTTAATCCTCTGCCTGCAGTGCCGGCATCCCATATGGGTGCTGGTTCTAGTGCCGGCTGCTCCTCTTCCAATCAAGCTCTCCGCTATGGCCTGGGAAAGATGGTCCAAGTCTGTGGGCTCCTGCATTCATGTGGGACACCTGAAAGAAGCTCCTGTCTTCGGATTAGCACAGCTCCGGCCGTTGCAGCCATCTGGAGAGTGAACCAGCAGCCATCTGGAGAGTGAACCAGCGGATGGAAGACCTCTCTCTCTCTGTCTCTACCTCTCGCTGTCTGTATCTCTACTTCTCAAATAAATAATAACAATAAAAAATCCTAAAGGGATTGTGCGGGATAATACCCAAGAGTCATTCATTCATCCTGGCCTTTATGACCTCTGGATCTGACCAGAGGTGCAAGCGCTTGGCTCCGTTCAGACTTAATCTGTTTGGCCTAAATTGCGTTGGAATTTTGCCTGCAGTTGGTAGCTGACGTTAGGAAGATTTTGCAAACACGTCTGAATTTCCAACCTTTCTTGAAAAATAGTCGAGACTTAAGAAGCAGCCGGGCCCTTGCAGTGTGCTTGGCCTCTCCAGGTGCCCAAAGACCATGCCCCTGAGTGATATGTGCCATTCACGCATGTCACCGCTCACCCTGTGACAGGAGCTCGGTGCCTGGGCTCGCAGGCAGCGTGTGTTCTGCTGTATTCTCTGCCAGGCAGGCCCTCCCCAGCCAGGACAGAAGAGGGGAGGGGCAGTATTTCAGGGCTGCTTGAGGGTCCACTATGGTAAGCTGGACTTGGGGCAGGGGACGAGAGGCAGAACTCCATGGGCTCAGTGGTCCCAGGTTTGACACAGGAAACACAGCCTCGCACTGGCTCCTCTCCTACCCACCCCTGCCAGAGGCTCAGCCGAGAGGGCAGAGCTAAGTCCCTTCCTCTGTGGGCACCTTGACAGATCCCCCACCTCCCCCCAGCTCAGATGTGAGTCACTGCCAAGGTCAGGTGCCAGCTGGCTGCCCCATGCAGAGGACACCAGGGGGAGCTGGGGGCGGGGTGGGGGGGAGCCTGCAGGAGTCCCTGCCTTCCATCCCCACAGCCTCAGGTCCTGTTCTCCCCTGGCTTGGAGACCCCAGTTGTGCTCCACAGGGCTCATAGCCCCACAGTGAGGCTGAGAAGTAACAGCTTTGATCATAGTAGGGCCCAGGGAAGGCTCCAGGACTGCGAGGTCAGACAGACCTGGAGTTGAGTCCCGGCTGCTTGTGCAGAGCATCAGTCAAGGAACACAATTGAAGGCCCGGAGCCTGGGCTTTTTCACCTCCAATGGGACAATCAGCTCCTCCTCTGTTGTCCACCAGGGGCAATGGCTCTGCGTCTATGGACGCCGCTGGTGTAGTGCGGGAGTGTCGCCGTGGGCAGTGCTGGCTGCCTCCAATGTTTTTTAAAAAAAGATTTATGTATCCATCTATTTGAAAGGCAGAGTCACAGAGGGAGGGAGAGACAGATTTTTTCCACCTGCTGGTTCAATTCCCAAATGGCACTTCAACAGCTGGGGTTGGGTCAGGTGCAAGCCAGGGTCCTGGAGCTCCATCCAGGTCTCCCACATGGGTGGCAGGGGCCCAAGTACGTGGGCCACCTTTAGGTGCCTTCCAAGGGGCATTAGCAGGGAGCTGGATCAGAAGTAGAGCAGCTGGGACTTGAACTGGCACTTGGATGGTGCTGGACCTGGGATGCTCGCTGCGCCACAAGCCCCACCCCTGGCTGCCTCCTTTTCCTCTCCCCTAGTGTGGGGCACTTCTCCATGACTCTTGACCCCACCTGGCGTGCTCACGTGGAGCAGTCACATCCTTCTCCTCTTTCAAGGCTCACAGGAAATGTCACTGCCTCTGGGAAGTCTTCCCTGACTTCATCTCCCTCAGGAATTCTTTCTCATGTCCACCCTGACTTCTGGGCGCTCCCAGAGAACTGCTGCCCAAGTTCATGGAGTTCCACACCTGCTCGCTCAGCGGCGTCTCTCCCTGGATGGAAGGCAAACACCTGGAGGGTGGGGTCCATGCTAGACTGACCCCACCTCCAGCCTCCTCCCACCATGCTTCCTCCAGGCAGTCCACAGTGGACGACCACGGGCCCAACCCTGGAGCCATAGGTGTCCAGAGCCTGAAGTGGCATAAAAACTCTGACCTAGCATCTCTACTTTGAGGAACTTTTCCTAAAAAAATAATAAAAAGATAAACTATTGGCCCTTTGTATCCAAGGGTTATGTATCCATGAATTCAACCAAATACAGATCAAAAAATATTCAAAAAAAAGTAACATCTATGCTGAACACATACAGACTTTTTTTTCTTGTCATTTCAATACAGTATAGTGTCTGGTGTTGTGGCACAGTGAGTTAAGTTGCCACTTGCAATGCTGGCATCCTGTGTAAGTGCAGGTTCAAGTCCCAGCTGCTCCACTTCCAATCCTGTTCCTTACTAGTGTGCCCAAGTGCTTGTACCCCTACCACCCAAGTGGGAGGTCTGGATGGAGGTCCTGGCTCCTGGCTTCAGCCTGGCCCAGCCCCAGCCACTGCCACCACCTGGGGAGTGATCCAGGGTATAGAAGATCTCTCTGTAACTCTGCCTTTCAAATAAATAAAGGTAAGAATAAAATGAATAAATGAAATACAGTATAACAAGAATTAACCCAATATTAGGTATTTTAAGCAATCCAGAGATGATTGAAATTATATGGGGTGGGCACTTAGCCTCGCAGTTAAGATGCCTGTATGCCATAATGGAGGACCTGGGTTCAATACCCTGCCCTGCGGCTGGCACCGTGGCTCACTAGGCTAATCCTCTGTCTGCGGTGCCAGTACTCCGGATTCTGTCCTGGTTGCCCCTCTTCCAGTCCAGCTCTCTGCTGTGGCCCGGGAGTGCAGTGGAGGATGGCCCAAGTGCTTGGGCCCTGCACCCCATGGGAGACCAGGAGAAGCACCTGGCTTTGGATTGGCGCAGTGTCAGCCGTAGCGGCCATTTGCGGGGTGAA